ACGATAATCCAACTAAAAACACCTCTACTGGAGTACTAAGAGGAATGCACAGGACACAGATTTCCTGGCTAATCCCCAAAACAAATGTTAGAGAAATGAATGAAATGTCCAACTGAAAGAAAAGAAATCCAAGGTCAAGGACGGAGCTCACCAAATCCACTTTTGGATTAAAGCAACCTAGCTCGTAGTCTGCTCATCTATGAAACTTACGTCTATATTGACATAGGTCAATGTAGGTTCCACAAAGAGAACGTCAGTACACCAGTAGCGGTACTCAATGAGTCTCAACATTCCCCTCACTAAAGTCAGCGAGACCTTGAATAAAAACATATGGTAAGGTTTTTAAGGAACTTCTTCCTAATCAATCAAAATTCAATTAAGGAAATACAAAAGATGGGGTAGTGATTTGTACATAACTTTGTATGACTTTGCTCTTCTATTTTGTATTTCCTTCCTTTCCTTTTCTATTTATTTATCATTGCTTCCCTTGAATTCCGTGTTCTATAATGACGAAACCTCCTATTTTATTGATCTTCGAAATATTAAGATTCGGGCATTTCAGGCGGTTCTCCGTTTATCAGTGGAACTCTATTAAAGCTAAAAAAGAAATCAAGTTTGCTTATCCCTTCATTGTTTCCTTCTTCACTCTTGTGAAAGATACTATATGATGAATTATGGTTTGCTTCCTCTATCCCTTCATTTTAATTTTTTTCCTTCTAAATAAACCGTCTTCTTTGAGTTGAAATTTGAAAGAATAAACCAGCTTCATGGATTAGCTAAATAGGGTTCCAGGATGGGTGTTTAAATAGGGATCCAGGATGGGTGTTCAATTGGTTTCTATATGAAATGTTGGCCAATGGTAAAAGAGATTTATGGAGGCCACAATTATTTCCATTCTACTTTCTGGGGTTTTTGAAGAAGCTTCAATGCTACCATATTTTGCATTAACACGAAAAAAGGGAAAAAGTGGAACTATGAGTTAAAGAATTCTGGCTTTCAACTAGTTAGATTGCTAAGCTGTTATAACAGAAAAATCGAGAACGGTGATAGACAAATTGGCAGCAGACTAACGAATGGCCTTTATAAACAACAGTGTAATCCTACATGTGGAGTCTGGGGAGGGCAAGATATATGCGCACCTTACCTCTAACCTTTGTGGGGGTAGAGAGGCTATTTCCAATAAACCCTCTGCTCAAAAAGAGAAGTTATTCGGAGAAAGGTAGCAAGAGAAAAGATAATAATAACATTCCCAGTATAGTAATAAGGAGGAGAGGATATGAGGTTAGTCCCTGCCTCTCCCACTGAACAGGTGGTTACACTCGTTTATCCACTAACCTTGTACCCTAATCTTTGTCCTCCATAGCTTTCTATCTAGGGTTCTGTCTACAGTAAGCTGAAGAAGTGTCATTTCCTGTCTAATCACCTTAATCACCTCCCCCGGTTCTTTTTTGGTATACCTCAACCTCTCCTAACTCCTGCTGCAATCAACCTCTCACATCTTCTAACTGCCGTGTACCTCCTGTTCACATGCCCAAACCATCTGAACCTCACTTTTCTCATCTTGTCTGCCACAGATGCCGCACCGAGCCAGTTAAAAAGCACACACTTCTGCGCTTTTAGTGAGAAGAGTCGCGACACAGCCCTTGCACTTTTCTACCCTTAAGTGAGGCATGAGTGAAGAAGGACACACTTTTGCGATTGAAGCGAGAAGTGAGACAGCCAGAAAAGCAAGCTTTATTCATCTGCTCAAGCAAAATTAAATTGCTGCGACTAGTTTTTTCCTTTAAAAAAATACTTCCGCTACTTTTCCTTTCTTTTAGTTCATCTCCTGCAAGCCTGCAAATTCTCTTCCTATGTTTTTTCTGTTGCTACTCAACTAAACTGCTGGGGTTGGACTACTCTGTTTTCTCTTCTTCTTATCTATGTTCTTCTCATGTTTGTATTCTCTGTTATGCCTGTTTTTTCTCTGATTTGTAATTTTTTTCTTTGTTATTCTCTGTTTTGCTTGATTCTCACTCCCACATCCATCTCATACGTCACGTCACTGAACTTGCACGCTAGGTACTATGTTTTAGTCCTGCTACAACTGACCTATATAAGGAGGAAGAAAAAATATGAATCCAGTGATGATTGCAAATGGATGCCTTGTCGCAGGAAGAGAAAAATAAAATGCGTTAATCGTTTAGTTCGGTTTTGTTTCAGTATTTTTTTCCTTTAAATACCATAACCAAACCAAATATTGTTTGTTTCTCAAATTTAAGACCACATCAACCAAAAATATAAAACACTGCCTATTTATTCGTGGTGAATCTGTTTTTCGTTCTGTCTGATTTTTAATTTTTTTTTTATTGAACACTCTTAATCATTGAATTGCTGTTCATTCAGTTTTTGTAGTTCAGCAATGTTATCCAGAGCTTACGGTAGTAGTAACAACCCTTGCTTTATTTTTTCATGAGCAATTGCTAGATTGTGTATCTCATCCTTTCATCATCACCAACCTATTCTTGAAAATTTGGGGGTGAACGTGGCCAAATGAAGACTGCTATTACTTCTGTGGATTATGAGATTTTATTTCATTATTGTAACTACTTATTGTTTTGCAGGTATAGTACTTTTTGTGGTTATCCACCTGAAATAGTCAAGAAATTGCCCAAGAAGGATCTTGCTGAGGAGGTAAGCTTATCGTACATTTTTACCATAGTGCTTTTCATTATACATGCCACAAAAAATTATTATCGTATTCATACCGTTATTGGTTGATAAGTTGCTTTCTAATCATGTAATGCATTAAGCTCTTGACATTAACTTTTTTGCCACAGTTTTGTGGATCTATATATCTCTTTCTGCTCATTTTGTATATCTTTAATTATGTCTTTTGATTGATAGGTTTGGAGACTTCAAGCAGCTCTGGGTGAGCAAGCAGAAATCACTAAACTGAGCCAGCAGGAATATGAAAGACTTCAAAATGTAAACTTCTTAATTTCACTTAGGCTTTCTCAGCTCTGTGATGCAGGAGATAAGATCTTTTATCTGTTTCCAGTATATTGCATGACTGTTGCATGGACTACTCTTTTTCGAAAAGATACTTACGCTGTCTAGTTAATTATTACTATTACCCACTTGTGGGATTACACAGGGTATGTAGTTGTTGTCGTTGGCTGTGATATCTACTTGTGGTAGGGTTAAGGTATGCATACACCCAGCACTCCCCAAGCACGACTTGCGGGAATATACTGGCATGTTGTTATACTGTCTGTTTCATTTTTTTCTGCCCTTTGCATGAAATGCTACTTGTTAGCAGGCATATCGAAATCCTTAAGTTGTGAGCAGCTACCACACTCAGTCCCGAGCTAGTTGGTGTGATGCATAAGTTTTACTTGAAAAAGAACCATAATCCTTGAGCTCTGTACGTCATCAACATTTTTCAATTCATCTTTGACAGTTCATTTCCAGGAGCTCGTGTCTGATCGAAAGATCTCAGAGAAAATATTACATTCATGTCTGCTAATCTAAATGAATATATATAAATTGATGTAATACCATGATTTAGTTAACTGGTCTAGTTTGAGATACGATTGTGCTTGTGTGATTTCATACCATCTAATTTTTTTGATAACTCGAACTCTTTCACTGGATTTGTCGTTGTTGAACTGTGTCAGTTTCTTCTGTAAAAATTGTTACATTTGTTTGTGTGAGGAGATTCTTGTATAGTTCATGACATTAACTGAAATCAATTTTGATGCTGTTCAGGAAAAAGTTCTATGCAGGATTTGCTTTGAAAGAGAGATTAGTACAGTGCTACTCCCTTGCAGGCATCGCGTCCTTTGCAGGTATTTTGCTCTACCATTATGGGACCTAGCACATTAACTACTTGCCAATGTTCATTCTTATCTCATGTGGTGTAGTTCCTGCTGTGAGAAATGCGACAATTGCCCCATCTGCCGTGTCTGTATCAACGAGCGCTTGCCTGTATATGATGTCTAAGTTAAATCCATCAAGCTCTTCTGCCTTGTTAAATGTCAAATATGATACTCGGAAATGTAGTTTACCAAATTTTGGGGACTTAGACTGCACTAACGTAATTAGGTAGGACAAATTTTCAGATTGCAGTTGCTCTTCCAGTAACTGTCATCTTTTATAAATATGTGTCCTTTCTACTGAAGTAAGTTGTATATTACTATATATATATATATGTATATCTATCTACTTTTCTCGTTTTCTTTTAAAGAATAGTTCTCTAGTACTTTATTTTCCAGACGTTTTTGTGTTATCAGAAAATGTGGAGTAAAGTGAGATTCAATTTTGAAGTTGTGATGAAAACTGAAAACTATGTCAAAGACTAGTTACTTTAGGAAGGAACTTTTTCCAAATCTGACTACTAAAAATCGACTTATTATAGAAATGAATGATAACAATCAAGCTTTTGCCAAAATTAGAGGCTCAATAGGATAAGAAGCAGTAACAAAAAGATGCCCAAAAGATACTTCAGAAGTTTTAGATAATTTGTGTGCAACCCATGTATGCATATAAACTTCTTGCTGGAAACAGACATTCTAGCACATTTCACCGTACTCTTCAAAAATATTTATACATGTGTGTCATATTCTTTAAACATAATGTATTTTTTTGAAAAATTCTATCAACATACAAAAGTAAAGAATCGCGCAACTTAGAACATAAATATGTAAAACAACAGAAATGCGCAAATCTTTATTACATGTGCGAGGGGAAACGAAGAAGGAAATGCTACGATGATCAAATTTTAATTGTGTGGATAAAAAGTTTACCAAGTAAACTAGTCCTCAATTATTGAAAAAATAACTAGTCCTCAATAGTTTATAGTGCTCCAATTAAGTCAAAGTTAGTTCTTTTTTTTTTTTTTCTAAAAAATATGTTAATGGTCACCAAAATAATATTAATAATAAATCTCAAAATGTTTCGAAATATTCTAAAATTGAAAAGATTTGTCATATAAATTCAAGTAAGAAAGTAAAATATTACACTTTTTTTGGCCAAAACAAATGTACAGTTTTTGTAGTAATAACATGCAAATTTGATTTGCACGAAACTTTTTTTGTGAAGGTTATCAGAAAATTTTAAGAAAAAAACTAGGGTTCCAAAAATAAACAATTCTGTATGAATTCTATCTCGTTTTTATATTCACAAGTCTTTCTATTTTCTCCCTAATAATAAAGCAGGTAAAAAGGTGTTCTTTTTTGGGTCGGGAAAATCCAAACATGATTAAACATCCTATTCCTTCATCTCCATTTTCTGCTTAGGTCGATTTGATAGAGAACTCTGTCCTCTAATATATAACCCAATTCGAAAATTTACATTATTTGTGCAAAAAGACTTGTCTTTTTCCCAGCTGTGAACCCTCTTGTTCTTCACCTAATTGGTTGCCTTGTTGTATCATTCGACCCAATTGTTCTTTTTTTTTTTCGTTTTGCCCTTTTGGTGATATATACCAAACACATTGGATCGAGACCCACCTTTTTTTTTAAAAAAAAAATTACTAAAGATTTCATTTTTTCGATCCATCAACAGTGTTCGCGGGCAGATGTATCTTTGTTGAATTCAGGTGACTGTCTGATGCATATTATATAATCCTTTTTTTTTTGCGATTGACTCTTTAATTTGAGACGCTTATGGGTATGTTGTTCTGTTTTGATTCCATGCTTATTGGATTGAAATATTGTAATTAGATTCTTGGTTTTTCTACCTCTTTTTTAAACCCAATTAACCCAAGCTTTTGTAAATTGGAGTACTTGTTTGCTGAACTTCTACGTGAGTGAAAATCTTCGTTGTCTTGATACTTATGGTCCTAGTAGTCCTGCTTCTGTTGTTACATTTCCGACTTTTTGTGTCAAGTACATATTCCCTGGTGTTGTTTATTTAGTTTTGCTCCATTTATCCAACTGAACACTCTACAGTTTCCTGTCTTACTTATGAGTTAATTCTTTCATTTCACAGGTTCAATTAGTTGTACAAGTTGCTGTATTTCCTCTTGGATGAACGAAAAGCCAAATGTTTGTGTGTGTATGTTGGAAATAGGAGTTCTTTGAGTGATGTTGTAGTTTTTGCAGTAACCGGAAATGAGCAGATCTGCATCATTTTTGGTGAGATCAGAAGCTGATTTAAATGTAGATGAAAAATCTCTACAGCAATGGGTTGTTGGCTTCTGTATTATTAGGTTTGATCTTGAGCAGGGACAGCTTATTGAAGAATGTTATCCAGCGGGCTGTCTAACTCATAATGAGGAGCTTGAAGTTGCCTTTAGCTCATTTCCGGATTCGGTTTCTCAGAATCATAACCGCTCAAGCATCCATGACTGTATCTTTTTCTTCCGTGTCCGAAGGCAGGGGAATCCTCAAGTGGCACATCTGCCTTCATCCGAGATAGTGGAAGTAAATAATACACAAGCATCCCAAATGACAGCCAGTGATAAGGTGCTTAAACAAAGGAGTAAAATTCAAACAGGGGTGAACTCAAGATATTTGTACGGGTTTGTGTTTAATAGACAGAGACACGATGAAAGGCTAAAACGGGGTGGTGAGCAAAAATCCGTGGTAATTCTTTCTCACAACCCATTCTCTAGTGTTTTTCGACCTTTGCTGCAGATCATGGGCCCATTGTACTTTGACATTGGGAAGAAAGCCCTCAATTTCATTGCTTCTTATGTATCAATGTGGCCTGTTCCTGTACCTGGTCAGTTAATGGAGCTTCCAATTGGAAATGCTACTCTTAAAGTGAACTTGCCACCTGCCCATTGTATGCCTTTGGATTGTGGAGTACTTTTTGAGGAGTTGGCTTCTCCAATAGCCCCATTTCTTCCTTCCAGTCAATCAGTTCCACAAGGTCTTTTCCATGATGCAGATCTTTTTGGGACATTTAGGGGGCTTTTAATGCAGCTTTGGAAGTTATGGGAATTGTTACTTATTGGAGAACCCATTCTTATCATAGCGCCAACACCACCTCAGTGCTGTGAAGCTGTTGCTGGTCTGGTTAGTCTGGTCGCTCCGCTTCTGTGTAGCATTGATTTCAGGCCTTATTTTACTATTCATGATCCCGATTTTGCTCATTTAAACTCCCTTCAAGAAGGTGCTGCTTTTCCTCCAATGATTTTGGGTGTGACAAACCTCTTTTTCTTGAAATCCCTTCGAAGAATTCCACACGTCTTATCAGTTGGAAATCCTGTCATGAATGCAGCTCGACTTCCATTTTCTGCTAGAGCTTCAACCGGTAGAATTCCGGCTGGACCTGAAGGACTTAGTCTTCCCAGTCTTTCCTTGAATAGGTTTACACCATCAAATTTTTTGAATGCTATGAAGTTGAGGAGAGATGGTCCACTCTGCCTGATGACTGAGCACAAAGAAGCCTTTTGGAGCAGTTATGCTCCAATTACAAAACCAGACACTTCAATCTTGAATAGGCTAATTGATGCAGGTATGTCACCCAGGGTAGAGGAATCAATGTCAGTTGTTAATAACGACATACTTCGTCGGCACTTCTTAGAGCTGACAACCAACTTCTTGGCCCCATTCGGCCCGTATTATAGACCAACAACACCTTCTGAAGGATCTTCCCCGTATGTTGATCCTCCTCCGCTACCCACATTTAATGCCGAGGACTTCCTCACTAGCTTGTCAGCAAGGGGTCCTGGGAAGTTTCTGTTGAAGAGGATGAAATCCAACTGGCTGGACCTTTACAGGTAAAGAATGGTCAGTTTTTTTTCTTGTGTACTCTTCTTTGAATTTTTTATATGTTCTCTCTTCCATGTTTACCAGCAAACTTTTTTATACATGTAATTAACGGATTATTGCCTGACTAAAAATGAAATGATAACTTGTACTTGTACAGACGGTTTCTGAAAGGGCACAACTTTTTGCCGTGGTTTCAACGAAAGCGTGCTGTTGCTGAACAAGAACAGTATAGGCTGTGGAGGCAAGCTAGAATGAGGGCTGACATACAACATTTTATATCTAAAATGTCTGAGTTGGAGATAGTTGATACTTTCAATGCAATTGAAAGGCATCTTCTTGGAGAGTTACAGGCATGTGCTTTCCTAAACTTTTAGTGACAATTCCATTTTCTTCTCTTTGTGTATTCTGACTTTTGAGTAGTTCTTCACCTATGAGGAATGTACACAAAAATATTGAAATGCTCATACTGAATTAGAAAATGAAACTAAGAAATTTGCTCATGAGTTAATAAATGTGATTGTGAGATAGTATTTGATCATTCTATCTTAAGTGACTGAAATATGTACTTATCATCCCTCCCAGAAAAAGAAAAAAATATAATGAATATATCTAATTTCTATGGAGAGGCAGAGATTCTTTATTTATCGGAGGCGGTAGAAAAAAGCGACTCATGTAATCTTGCTTTCACTTGTGTTGAAATTTTTGTGTATGAACAGTTGACAAGACATCTAGCTGGGACTGAAGGCTTTGCTACCACTGTTCTCTGACTTGTTTTTTTGCTGAATGATATTAGGCTGAATTATCAGTTTCTGTACGAGTAAATTTAGAGATTTTATTCATGTTAAGATTTAATCATATGCATCTGTGAGAGCTTTCAGTTGTAAATAGTAGGCGGAGAAATAAGGGTTTTATCTATGATGGACGTAGTTGAGATTGCCTTTATTTGATTTATGCAGATGAAACTCATTTACATGGCAAAGAGCAACATGTCGATAGAAAATCCCATAATGAAACCGGTCACTGAACTAGGAGGAGAAACAACTCAGCTGTAAATACCAGCGTGTGACCTTGCCATTTCTTAAGGCTACTATATTATTTGATTGCCGGTGCAGAATATATTCAAACATGACTTAAATCCCGTCATAGCATCTTTCCATTATCTCATCTTGTAAGTGTGCATTTGGTTGATTAGTCTAAGGAAACAAATTTCGAAGCATTCAGACAGGGAAGGCCACATAACTCCAGTGAACAATTTATCATGGTAGGCAACCCTATGTTGCTTGATGAAATAAGGAGGGGTTTGACAAGGTGGAGTAGTAAGGTTGTTTCCTTTTATTCAGTAGGAGAGAAAAGAGGAGGAAAACTAAATGTGAAGGGGTTGGATACCTTTTCATGACACCATTTCAACTCCTCCAAAATGTGATCTAAAGGAGGAAGTACCTCAGTTCCTTGCAACCACACCAACAACCAGAAAAGCCTTCAATACTTTCCTTGTGAAATTAAACCATGCTTTACATCTGTGCTGTATTTCCTTGCCACGTTCCTTTTTTTCTTTGGCAGATCTCCAATGATAGATTCACAATTACCATCTTTTGCATATCCTCGACAAGTATCAATTCTATTGAGAGAGAAATGATGTCTTTTTGTAACATTATCTCATAAATGTATCAACCCTGTTGAGCAGAGAATGGTATTGTCGATTATAGTCGTAACATGTTAAGAACTTTGGAAAATACTCACATGTTATCCATCGTTTTTGGATTCATAGTAGCTCTTCTTAAATGAAGAGAAGGGTGACTATCATCCATTGTTCATACTCACATGTTCCCCATTATTTTTGGATTCATATTCGCTGAAGATGGCTTTTGTCCAGTTCAATTTTTGCAACTTGAACTGCAAACTACATTTTTTATTGGCTTTGATCTATTTTAATGGGTTAGCAATGTGGCAGAGTTAATTATACTAAAAAATGCAACTGAATAATCTATAGGTTAAGGACTTGATCAATATTATATAGATTTTGAGCATGGGATCTTTTTACTGTTTTTCAAATTTGAAGTGATCTAGTTTTCTGCTCCACATATCCTTCACGGGGCTAGTTATTATCACTCTCTTCTATGTTACTTAGTAACTGTGAATGACTATTGTTCTTGGTGGCAATGTTCTGCTGCAGCAGTCCACCACTCTTGAAGAAGGTTCTGATGTCACTAGCAGCAAACTAAGGGAGGATCTTCAGGCAGTGTTTCATGTCCTCCCAAAGGACATGCAACAGCTTATGCTAATGAATCCTGAGAGGGCAGCACTTGTACGAGATGATGAGCTTCCCTCTATATCAACCAGATGACAAGAGCTTATGAGCCTAAGATTTAATCAGACAGCTGAGTTGAGAGTTCTATCGTGTCACCAGAAGATGTAGAATCAGTCATGTCCTCTTCTTCGCTGTAAATTCTTGCAGGAGCTGAACTTCTCAATGATCTGCTGCAAGGTCAGTTAAATCTTGCCTCAGATTTCCATTTTGCATTCATGAGATAAGTTGATTGCAAACATGATACTAATCTTTCCTCCAGATTACTTTGGCAAAGAACTATTATCTGTTGAAGCTGTTCCGGTGTACTGAGATCACATTCTTCTTCTGAATTGGTATTTGAATTTTTCCAGAGATTCTTATATGGTGTTTCGGAATGGATAGATGTCTGTTTAACTTACTATTGAAAGGGAAAACAATTTCCAGATATAAGAGAAACAAGTTATGAGCCTTTGTGTTGTAAAACTCCAGCTTTTTTCTATTTTATTCTTTCTCAATGATGGTGTCCCTCTTTGGTTTCTGTTTCCTCTCAAGGACATCAATGTCATATGACGCATGATTAGACAAGTCATGCTGTAAATGGAATATCAGTGTTTGCATTTCGTTAAAACACGGGATGTAGAACCCGTATAAAACATGTCAAAGGATGCTTTTACTTGGCTAAATTTGCTGCACATCTCCCTCCCCTTATCCTTTCATTTGGTTTCCTTTAAAATTGCAGCTTAGTTGATTTTCCTGTTAAAGCTCAACCATCTTTCTGCAGTTTCAAAGCTGCAATTTGCGGATTGTTATATTCTGTAGCTTTGGACAATCCAAAATTAGTCGCTCCCATGTCAGATCCTTAAAAGAAGTACTACTTTTGGAGGATCCACTGCGCATCTATTGGCATTTTTTTGAAGAGTTTAACTAACTTGGATTATATACTGGTTCTAAGGGTCGCTGATTCAGTTTTACTATTGACCTTGTGCTCAGTTAGGGATTAGCAGTCACAGTTATCTTGGCCAGTACAAATATGGCATGTCAGATATGAAAAAAAACATAAGACATCACTGTTGCTGTGAACCTTTTAGGATTCAAAGGGTTCAAGAAGATCAAGATTTTTCTAAACCTTATCCATTAAAAAATAATTGGTGGATGATAGTTATTGAATGAATATATGATACGTCAATCCTTTTAATATCCATGTAAGTGTGAAATCAAGAGTTCCATGTGATTTCATGTGTAAAAAGACTGCTGGTAATGCCGTCCTTGTGACTTGTTTATAAATATCAAGGAGACAACTTAAATTATCAAAGAAAGTGAAATTATGGCTTGACAAAGACCCTTTGTTGTTCCAATAACACTAATGACTATAAGTAGATTTTATCCCTATTTTAAAGGGTTAAATAGATGTTTTTTAATTCATTATAGACAGGCAATGAAAATTCGAAAAAGATTATACTACAATACAACGATCGACTTGCTACCGGATATGTCTTGAAGAGACGCTAAAATGGACTTTGTCATCTATCTATCATTTTTCATTTATTCTTTTATATAAGAATTTAACATCTTTTCTAACTAATTTACCTTTATCATTCTGGCCCTGTATCCTTGAGATAAATATAAAATATGACAGTTTCTAATTTAATATTTTATGCCATAATTTAATGGATGATAAGATGGATGGACAGTTATATAAACATTAGATAAGATTTTTTTAAAAAAAGTTACATCAGTTATGAGGGGCTTGCAGCAAATATATTAAGAACGAAATGAGAAAAAGATTTAATTTGATCATATGTTGTGCAACTTCAATATATATATATATCTGTTCATATAGTACGTAACTATTTCGAGAAGTGTTACAAAAATAAGAGATGAGATAGATGTAAAATTGTGAATAACAATATCTTAAACTAAATACGCACCAAAAGCAAAGAATTTTTTATCCGTTAATTATAAGTTTTGAATCTGGTTAGTGCGTTGATGTTGAACACATTGTTAGTACTTTGGTCTTATTTTAATATATTATTATAATTAACATATGAATCTATAATCAACTGATACAAAAGTGATGCGTAACTGTAATAACTATTATTATTATTATAAGTTTACAAGATAACAACCAGACATATTTTCCGTATGAAAATGATGGAAGTGTGACATAGACTTGAGGCTAATATATACAATCATTCAAGACTCCATTGCATATTGAAATATCATAGTTCAAATTATTTCCTTTTATGAAAATGAAACTCTGCATATTTATTTTGTAATATCCAAATTCCAGACATAAAATTTTCTTTTTCTTATCATAGAAAGAGAAAAAAGACATAAACTAGACAACTCATTGGCGCAACTCCTTTTTTATTTTATTTAATTCAAACTTTTTTTGATTGTTTATGTTTGTTTACTCACATCTTCTTATTGACAAGATGGACATAGTTTTACATGAATTAGAGAAGGAGAAAAAGCCACGTAGGTACATGAATAAGAGGTTGAAAGACAAAAAGTGACAAATTCTGGGAAAAATCATTACTCAAAATTCTTTCCCCACACCCTTGTGCTACTGTCTGAGCAACACTTTCTCAAACAGAATTACTAATCCAGGTCTTTTTATAAATTATTGTTTGATTAATGAAATAAGAAATAATAATTCTTAAAATTAAATACAAATTATTATTTTAATTTACATTCAATCCATCCTTCTTTCTGGTGGAATACATAAATCAATAGAGTTCAAACGTTAGAACCTTTAACTATGGACATAATTAAAGTATCATATGAATTTTCTTTTTGTCATCGCAAATTTAAATTTTATTATATTGAAAGTCTTATATTATTAATAAAAAAATTATCACTCATGTTTTGAATTGTGGATCAACTACTCTTGAAGATGATTTAATATTAGAATAATGACTATATATAAAAAATTAATTTCTATACGATCGTTGATTTCGGAGAAAGAACACAAGAATTGGATCTGTTTAACCAAAAGTTAAAGCAAATTGGCACGTGATTATCATTTTATCATACATTCTTGATCAGTACATAATTAGATCTTTGATTACTTGCAAAGTTGCAATTAATGTTTTAAATAATTTGACTCCAATCCTGCTTCTTCCCACCCACCATTATTAACCTAATATTACTGAAACAATAGGTCAAAAGATTACAAAATAAAGAATTAAATAATATTAAAGTCAATAACAATATTATTATCTCTAGTATATCCTAATCCTATACTCATTTCATTAAGAACGAGTTCTATTATAATTAATTATTTCCGAATCATTATTTTCTTCTCAATGTACTAAAACTTTTAAACAACTACTTCTTAAATAAATTATTTTACAATTTTATCTTAATCAAATATTGAATAAATTCATTCTAAAATTAATCACGATTTGCCCCTTCTAAGTCCTTAGTACTATTCCTAGAATCACGAGGGCAAACAGTGCGTGGCCCAAATTTGCTACAAGATTTTGTATGGAACCTCTTATTGCCATTCACCCATTCAATCATTGCTACTAATAAGATGCCACTTTTTTTTTTTTTTTTTCATTTTAATGATGAAATAGATACCCTTTTTTTAAACTTTTATGTTTCTTTATTTTTATTATTCCACCCTTTTAATCATTGTATATTCCATAGTTTCCATTCTATTAACTAGTAAAGATTTTACCGCTGGATTAAAAGTTGGTAAATTTTCTACACTACCTTCCCATATTTTCCTCTTTCCCCTTTTCTGTTTGTTCTTTTGCCCACCTTTTTGTCAGCTTTATACGTATAGAGTCTTTGTAAACTTTGATCAATATTTTATCATAAGAATTTTAATTTTAATAATAGAATCTCTACGGACTCTTTTAAGTAAGTGAAAAATAATTATTTGTAGAAATAGAATTGGGTTTTCACTTTTTGTAATTTAGTTTGCATGACTTTGTATGAAGGTGACAAATCAGCCCATCACTTCAACCTCAAAGTGGTCCTTCACCATTAATACATTTGATACCCCTCCCCACTTTCTTTTTCTTCCCTACTAGAGTTATTATTATTTTCTTGCTTTCTTTCTTTCAAACTGAAGATTAGATGCAATTTTCCCCAAATTGAACTAAAAAATTGAAACAAGAAAGAGATTTAGAAATGTCACCTTCAGATTCATCATCATCTTCAGTAGTGTGGAGCAGAGAAGAAGAAAAAGCTTTTGAGAATGCCATTGCACAGCACTGGGTTGAAGATTCTGAACAGCAATGGGAGCAGTTTGCTTCTATGGTCCCCACAAAGACCATTGATGAGCTTAAGGAACATTACCAGCTACTTTTGGAAGATGTTGCAGCCATTGAAGCAGGACAAGTTCCAATACCCAATTACAAAGGAGAAGAAGCTTCGTCCTCTTCAACGAAAGAAGTAAATCTAGGATATCCTGGGTCAGTGGATGGGCGGCGGTCCAATTGTGGTTATGCAAATGGATTTTCAGGTACGAACCATGACCCGATTGGGCATGGTGGAAAAGGAAATTCTAGGTCTGAACAAGAGAGACGAAAAGGAATACCGTGGACTGAAGAAGAACATAGGTAAAAATTTTAAGGCGAAAACAGTTTAAAATCTAATGGTAATGAAACCTAATTTTGACTAATTTTGAATTTACAGGTTGTTTTTGCTAGGTTTAGACAAATTTGGGAAAGGAGATTGGAGAAGTATTTCAAGGAATTTTGTGATATCTCGAACACCAACACAAGTAGCTAGTCATGCCCAGAAATACTTTATTCGTTTGAATTCCATGAATAGAGATAGAAGAAGGTCAAGTATTCACGACATTACAAGTATCAATAATGGAGGAGACGTTTCAACTCATCAAGCTCCAATTACAGGCCAACAGGTGAATCCTAATCCATCGAATCCAGCTGCACTTGGACCCTCAGTCAAGCACAGAACCCAACCCAATATGCATAGTATGGGCATGTACGGTGCTCCGATGGGTCACCCCGTCGCTGCACCGCCAAGCCACCTCGCCTCAGCCGTCGGAACACCGGTTATGCTTCCTCATGGACACCATCCTCCTTATGTACTTCCACTTGCATATCCTATACCACCGCCGCCACCCCCCATGCACCAGTAAATGAATGGTGCACATATAACTGCATTTTCTTCTTTCTAAATTTCAATAGAGTTAGTATATCATAAATGCTTTTGAGCTTTCTCTTGGAAACTGAATTTTCAAAGGCTCATGGCTTGTTTTTAAGTATCAAAATTCTCTCAATTAATTTCTTTCTTATTGAGAAATTTGTAAATATTAGAGTTTAGTATGTTTGGATGTTTTAAGGGATGCTCAATTGCTCATCAATTCTTTTACATAAGTAAGATAATAAACTTAGGTGTTGAAAATTCCATAAATGCAATTATACTATTTTGTAAAAGGGTGATGATAAATGATTACTTCTTATTTTTTTATATTATTAAAAAAGTTATATTTTAAATAGATTATAAAAATATCAAGAACATAACAGTTAGAAAAGTGCTTAGAAGCCTTAAAAATTATAGTTATGCTTGAATATTTTATTGATTTATAAATCAAACTATTTATGAGTTAGTTTAACTAGCTTATAAAAAGTTAGCCTAAAGCCAAAGGGATTTTTTTGGTTTATCTTTCCAGTTTCAAGAACCGGGAAGAATAGAGAGAGTGTCCTAAACGCAAAATCCACCAATAGGGAACAGTGGCACATGATTGTGGGGAAAAAAACAAATGAATGTTATGTGGAAAAAAAGAAGAGAGAGGAACCTTCTCTTGAAAATATATAATACATTTTATTTTTTTGGATTGTTATAATACTGCAAATCAATTTTTAAGTGTTACTTTTTTTTAAAAAAAAAAATCCCAGATACTATTTGTTAAAATTTAGATTTTATTTCCCTAAAACTATAAAATTTTTAAGTATTACTGAACCTAAATCCAAAACTCTAAACCCGCTCAAAGGAGGCTGAGTCTTACGAGCCTTGTAAGACTCGTGAGTATTTGAGCCTTATTCCAGAAAACCTAATTTTAAACCGCTAGAAAAAGTTACCCCTTTGACATCATAATTAATTGAGTTGTTTTTTTGAAATTTTCAAAAAAATTGTTGCCTTTTTAATTTTGGACTCCAGTTTATAACCTATTGAACGGCGACGTTTAGCATGCGAGGGTTGCCTTTTAGATCAGGGAAAGGGGTAATGGTCTTGAAGATATTTGTCACCTTTAGTTCAACTATAAAACTCGACATTCTATTTTATTTCTACATTTCAATTCCACCAACAGCAATGGCAACGACTCTAATTGTTGACAGTTACATGAATGGACACAAGAAGGCAAGTTCTTTCATTCTATACCACTAAATGCTGCCTCAGTTTTGTATTTTGCTATTTCACTGTCTTATTTTCTTACAATTCCATTACTTTTATTTCAAACAGCGGGTATACTATCACTCTCAGATACAGATACAGTATTTGTTCATCCTACCATTACCTTACCCACTTATGAGATTGTTGTTATTTTTATTAAACCATAATAACTCGTACGCACGTTGATGGATTAGAAATAGAACACTGCAAGATAACTACCATCCGAGAACGTCCAGGGAGAGATTTAGTTAGAGGTACAATGACTAAACAAAACAAGAAAAAAAGGAACAGTAGGGCAGGCTTACAAAACAACAACAGTCTAGACCTAATGCCTTTAGCTTACAACAAGGATCAACATCAACAAGAAAAATTACAAGAGGACTTTGCACGCAGCTGCTTGGACAGTACGCGATACAACAGCCTCTTTCGTCCCAATCTCCACCATATTGGTAAACCAGTCCTGCGTCTTTTTTTACTCTGTTCTCCTGCATTACCAGCAAGGATATAGTTCAATACACTAGAAGTCCAATCCTCCACAGCACCAATGCAGAATTTTGTGTCTAAAGGATTTCTTTATAAAAAGTTGACTGTCCTCGAATTCATTATTGTCCGAGCATCAAAAATTCATCAGCTAACATGCATAAAGCAAGAGAGCTGAAGCTGGTCTACTGGACCATATTTTTACTGCCCAAGTGCAGGTAACTCAATATGGTGTTGAATTTGATCTTTTATCATCATCAAAGTTCAAAATATTTTTGATGTTACATGGTCAGTCAGCTTCATAGTTTGATGAAATTTTACCTCACTTTGCTTGCAGGGTGACAATAGTGTACAAGATGTCAGCTTCATTTCAGCTAGTATATCACTTTTTTACTTAAGGTCTTAGAATCATTGTATATTTCTCAAAAGTCGGCTGAAACTTTTGACTAGTTGCACACTTGCATAGTTAAATAGTTAACACGGATTGACAGGACCAATTTGAGAAAATCCATAAGGTTAAAAGAGAGAACTAACCATATCATCAAAACTAGAGGCAGAAAGATAAAATAGGGACTATTACTCCCCAAAGAAAATTCAAGAAACTCACTTGTGTCCTGAAAAGCATAGGATCCCCACTGCGAATGCAATTTAGTGAAGTTTGCCTCCAGTGTAGGCCAGAAGTTCATCTGAATCTTTAGAACATCCAAAACACTTCGCAGTCCAGCTTTGGAAGGTACAGCTTTGTCTATGTCAATCACTGGACTTTCACCAAGCAAGACCTAAAAAGAAAGGACAACATCATACATTATTAGAGAAAACAATCAAACTTCTGCATACCCCGGCAGTTTGAAGGATAAAACTGTGGAACAAAAAATGTTCAGGAGTTTCCACTTCACCACGATTGAAATAGTTCTAGTCATTATAATAACTTTACAGGTTATCTGCTACCGAAACGAACTGAAAAAGATACTAAGTGGATCGTCCCCCTGGTAGAGAAGAGTAAAACTTTTATCTTTGACAAATGCTTGAAAATTCATCAATTGCTCCAAGAAGGTGTGAATATGCACAGCAAAGACTTTGAGAACTAAAAAAAGTTTGCCCTACATTACTCGGCCAGGATTTCAAATATGCTTTTTGATGCAGAGAGCAATTTATTAGGAAAAACAAAACAAGAAAAAGGTCAAAGCAACTCAAAAAGATGACCATTAATATCAAGACACTAGTGCTGACCAAGAACCTATACCCATTGCAATAGGCATGCATCAGTGGCAGCAGTTGAAAGATTCATCACACTGGACTTAGTAGTGATAGTTATGATAGAAGCGAGGTAGGTCTAGGGGAACAACATCTGGCTTGGTTGTTTTACTTAAATCTGTAATCCCTCATGTACTTGAAACTGGAGGTTTACATACTGATAAAAACACTCTCCTGATACTGCCAGTTCTTTTGCCTTGTTTCCAACTCTAAGTTTTGAAGGGACGCACTGAAAGTTCTTTTTTTTCTTCCAACATTAAGTATTTTACATGCCCTTTTCATCAGTATATCCTAGTCCACCATCCACTGCCTCTGCATAAACTAGAGTTACCTTAATCACTGCTGTAGCTGATGATGAAATTGAGCGAAGATTGTAGCTGCAAAACATAGTCATTCAAACACAAGCAAACATATAAACCACCAGTTCCCTTTGATTTAAGAGCCAAGACAAAAGAGCAAAGAGAAGATACAGACCCGCCTTCCAAAATAACAAGCAATTTTCCACCTGACAATGCACTCAACATCTGAGTCATTGATGCATAACCAGCAGGAGTTACCTGCAAAGACGATCCAAAAGGTAACACAAAATAGCATAGGCAACATATAAGAGGAAGAAATGAGTACATTATTAAACTAGTCGACACTAGAAAAATCCTTACGTCACAGCAGCCAAGGGGGTCACCCCTAGCAGCATCAAATCCTGCTGAAATGATAGTAAAGTCTGGATTGAAATCCAAAGCTGCAACAACATGGAAAGAGAGAAGTTAATGAAGTCACTCTCTTGTTTTTTCCTATTTTCTAAAGAGAACTAGATAAGTTCATAAGAACAATAAATCAAGGAGACGTAAGAATAACCAACCACTAAGAAACAAGCTTTACCTGCATAATGCAAATAGTGTTGTTGAACAATATAAGAAAAGAATTTGATGAACAAACAGAAGGTCAAGAATTTGATAAATAATTTTACTGCTCACCGAGATGGCATTTAATAGGAAGGTTGCATACAACACGTATATTGCTAAGCGACCAACAATCTAACCACCAATGCAGCATAGTATCTACTCTCTTACACCAAAAGTACAATAATAAAAGTGAGGTTTGCATCACATGATTGGGTCTTTCCAGACCTTCAAAAGTTCTTATTTTATCTGAGAAAATGCATAGTGTTGCCATTTTCATGTAATATTCCTCACAAATCTAGTTTATTCATCCTCCTGCCTAAGTGAGCTTAATCACATTTCTGGTCTCAAACCCAAGCAAGGGAGAGTATTTCAGTTCGTTGACAACCAAACTAAACCTAGTAAATTAGCAATGCTCCTCACACCATAAATACACTGATAAAATCTCACCAAGGCACATATTACATTCATATCCAATTGTGATGAAAATGTGCATGGGTTCCATTAATCAATAAGTTCCAATATTTTATTTTGAAACAAGGTAAGGTAAAGGCATTCTGCACAAGTTCATTTGTCTTTGTTGGTGTCCATTTTCTCCAAGGACTTAGCTTTTGGCATCCCAGTCATAAACTGTTGAAAAAGGAGCAGAACATGCCTAATTGCTCTGCAATCAGGGAGATTTTACTTTGGCATATGCAAGAGATATATATAATCACAGCTAAGATCTCCACTTAATCACTGCTTCCAAGTATCTTCACTTTATTTTTGGGCAAGTTTATTCATTGTTTCATTTTAGTAAAGCTCTGTTTCTTTTAAATTTCTTCATAGAGAAATAGAATACCTACCTATGGGAAGCACGACTTGCTCAAATGCAAAAATGTAGTCATTGTCACTCACTCCCCCACGGCTCCAAGGAATATTCACACAGTATCCTTCTGCACCCATAGAACCAACCTGTGGAAAAGGAAAATAAACTATGGCATCCAAATGCATCTCAAATGAATGTACTTAAAAGCAAAACTCCTAAAAATCGTGATTTTGTGGATGCCCTTTTCATAAAGAGACAAAAATGAATTAAATCTGAGTCTAACCAAACCACCAGAGAAGGTGAGTATAATGAATAAGTACCTCATCTGCAGCTCCTGTACCAGGGTAGAATCTTCCACCCTCATGTCTATGCAATGATATATACAAAACCTGCTCAGTAATAGAACCACAACATTTAGTTTTAAAGAACTTCTCCCAACCAAACAACAAAAATGCTGTGTTCGAGAAATTTGTTATAACACACTCCGTGGTACACATATCAACGTAATGTGATAAACAATCTCATTTTAGGATGTGTCAAAATGTTTGGAAATACAATTCTTCAGAGTAAATTCACATTAACTTTTATAATTCAAATACAAACCATGATATAGATTGTTTCACTAATCATTAAACGTTGCAGGATTTTCAATACTTCAATTAACCCTTTCCCTAAAAAAAATGCGACAACAATGTACCCAATAAAATCCCACAGGTGGGCACTGGGGAGGATAGAGCGTACACGGACCTTATCTCTACCTCGTGGAAGTAGAGAATTTGTTTCTGAAAGACCCTTGGGAATACTGCTAATCTTGCATGAAACGAGTAACAGGTACAATGTGTAAAATTTCATCCATGTGTAAAATTTCACCCAAGCCTATCTAGCAAGCAAGACAACACTCCACTTCCACCTAATCGTCAATTCTAATCCGCAACCTCCAAATCTTCCTAGCTGTACTGCTCCACCAGTCAGACTCACATGGTGAATGACTTCTGTAATAGACCGCCCAGGCATGAGTCCGAACTGGTTCTTAGAAATAAACACACTCCTACCCTCATCTCCACCACTTCCACCCAAACTCTCATAGTGTGGCTTAACAGTATGAACCCGCTCGGCCTGTTCACTTCCAAAATTCCATCGGGATCTCGTCTTGACCCAGTCTCTCCTAGCCTACTCATCCTATAAATAGCACCTTTAACCTCCTCAACCTTTATGCATCAACAATACTCATACTACCACCGAATCTCCGAGTGCTTTAAGCACCTAGCACAATGTCTCTGTCCCCGTCTTCATTCAAAAGTTTATGGATCTGTCAACCAATACATTGTCTTCCTAGTCTTAGACGCACTTCATTTGGGCTAGGTCTCGAGCACTCATCTCTCCCACCTTAGGTAGTCTATACAAATTCTTATCCCCGCCTTTGTCGTCGTCTTTTGCTTTTGTTAAGAATATAAAGATAAATTTATTAGCCTATTTTTCTAATCAAAATATGTACATAACTAGGACAAAGACGGTATCAAAGGAAAGTAAGGGGATATCCCGTAGAGTTTGTTTAACTCCATAGCTATATACTGCAACATAAACATATACTAAATCAGCAATAAACATGACATGGTACAAAAGGCAAGACCAGGAGTTCCCCTTTCTCTTTTTTTTCTTTTCTTTCATAATTATGAGACCAGGATTTCCCTTATAATATGAAGATCCATCTCAGTGTTCTGCAGAAAGATTGATCATAACACAACACTTAGTTTAGCAATTCATTTACCGATTTGCTTCTCTCAAATATTTCTTGTGTGCCATTCCCATGATGCACATCCTACAAGGCGTGAGAAAAGAAATCATAAATTAGGTCACAACTTTTGCATTTCACGTGTATCGCATGTGTTAAATATCCCAGGATAACAGAAATATCAAGCAATCGAGGATAAACATAGAGCGCCGGTAAATACCCAATCAACTATTAACACCTTCTTTGCACCAGCCGCCTGAGCTGCTGATGCAGCAATTGCTGCATTGTTGTGGAGACAGAAGCCCATGGCCTGTTTCACACCAGCATGGTGGCCAGGAGGACGAACCTAACTCACCATTTACAAAGAAAATATCAGGGTGGTTTTTCCTTCTTATATGGAGAATGCATAATCAAATGTGAATTCTTACCAGAGCAAAACCATTTTTGACGCATCCAGAGTAAATTGCTGAAGCAAGGTCAGCACATAAACCTGCTGCAAGCCTGGCAGCACATGCTGAATATTCATTTGCATAGGTATCAGGTGTGAAATAACTGCCATTTTAAAAAGCTCTTGATCAAGATAAATACTGAAGGTTTTTCTATTACAGGTGGGTAGTCCCAGTTCAATAATGTCCTTAAACAAAAACAAAAACCAATAAGAATGAAAAGCAAATGATGCCTGATTGAAAAAAATGGAAAGTAAATAATCAATATTCTCAAACCTGGCATGCATACGCTTGGTGTTATCAACGGCTTCAATATTTTCCTCTGAGTGTATCTAAAGGTCCAAATATATAAGAATTAATACATAAGAAACTAAAAAAAAATAAAAATCTAGAAGTAAAGAATATCACCTCCTCTGTCTTTTTGTATATAATACTAGTAAAAATACTATTTTTTGTCGGTTAGAGGTAGATAGGGTGCACTTAACCAACCTTTATAATTGAAAAAAAAAAAGAAAGAAGAGAAGATAAACAGCTAGTCACCTCTGAATAGCAGTATCTAGAAAATTTGAGAAAATATGCGTGCAAAAGTCTAGCATCTTCTCTGATTGCATTACCAAGGGGTCTCAGAGAAGACACTAGCACAGAATTTCAAGTAATGTTGTATACAGCACATAGCAGACCCAATTATCCACAACACAACTGAAACTTGACAGCAACTCACCATCTGGAGTTCTTCCCTAGTAATCTCTCTTGCAGGAATGGGATGGCACTTCCCTGGGAATATACCTTATCATGTCAAAGAAAAGCGAAAGATTAGACAATCATTTTTCAACGAACTGGACATCATAGATTTTAGGCATTATAAACCACTTGAATCTTCTAAAACTTCACACGAAGTGTGGATGCCCCATATGACAATACTAGGCTACCACTGCAATGTTCTCTAAGGCCCGGAGATAAGGAGAATTGAAGAAAACCTGCTGTTGCAAGGCTAGCTGCAATGGTTCGAAGACGGTCTGGTCTCTCAGGATGTGGATGAGACTTCAATACGACCTTTTCAATCAAAAGAGAACCCATAAATAATATCTCCATCAATAACAGGAAATTGGTATTCAATAACTAATATCCAAAACAAAATGCAAGAACAATTCAATTCTTTTAAAAAATTTATTCATTGTTACGACTAGACAAGGCACAAGGACAATCAATAAAAGACTAACACACAAGATAATAAATTGAAGAAATACCATACTTCTGTGTGAAGCAACATCCTCTCGTCAAACCCTACAGCAGTGGAGGATGATAAAGAACTTTGCTTGCATGAATCTACAGTAGAAGAAAAATCAATATACTATTTATGCCAAAACAAACGAAAAAGAGAAAGGTCATATACTATATAGCACAACAAACAAATAAACATAGTAAAAACTGGCAATAGACCTGCATCATTGGAAAAGAAGAAAGAATGTGTTTTATGAGTAAGAGTAATTAGAAGTAGTAAGTCTGCTCACATTATTAAGGAGTTTACTTCCAATAAATCACCTACGGCTGTTCATCCACCAAACATTTGTGAGACTCAAAATTATCAGATATAATAAATAAAATGTCATTTGTTTACGTTGTGCTAAGATTTTTACTCCTTACCTTCACATATTCCCCTCAATTGACTATCAACGAACCTTGGCTTTGGCTTCCATGTGACTAGATATTTTTTCAAATTTAGATACATATCTGCTTTGAGTCAACGAATATACATATTACATAGCTTTTGTTTGGTAAATAAGAACTTCTGCCAGTGCAACAGGAGTAATTACTGGGTCATCATTTTTGAAAATACTGTAGTTATACATGGGTGAACCAACTACATTATTCTAGAGGTATTTCGAAACAGTGACTCCTGGCTATGAGATTATGATATAAGCTAACTCATAGATTTTGAACTTCTATTCTACATTTCCAAATATTTGACTTTTTCTTGCAGCCATGGGTAATCTGAAAAGGGGGTAAACCAAATGGAAGCAACAAACAGCGTTACAATATTGGGCAGGATCAATTCACGGTCATTCACAGCTATATTCCCTGTGACTATCCTATGTGCTATGAAAGTTGCAAATTCTTTCGTATGGGCATATTTTGTATATCGGGATAGAACTTCAAATATACACAATACCGTTCATTGCACGAGAAATTCATTTATTAATCAATCAAAAGCGCAAATATAATGTTCTGTAATGTAAAATTACTACCAACCTTCAGAATCTTCAGTTACAGGCAATTCATCTTGGTTGATATCTTCTACAGGCAGATATGGAGATGCAAAAAATCCATGCCTGAGTATCCCAGATTCTCTGTGTTCTCCGCATACCTGCATAGGCAGTATTCTATTAATAAACCATGGAATGTATAATTTCAACAGTAAGTGAAAACTTCTGAATTAATTTAGCTTTAAAAACAGGAGACTGGAAGGCTGAACGACCACAAAGAGAACAGCCAAAAAGATAAACAACTTACTTCACAATTGCCAACATCCTCGACATTGATCATTGAACAATTGACACAGAACCACTTCAGAACTTCTATTTGCTTTTCTGATGGTTCCCAGTCACTGTCATCATCATCCTCGTCAAAATTATACCGAGCATTATACATATCCTCCAAGGTCATATCACTTTCGTGCTTAGCACTTTTCTGAAGTTGACAACAAAGTTCTAATAAGAAATCATCAGATGCACACCTTCAAAATCAGTGAAATATACAAAATGAGCTAATAGCAGCTCCTCACAGTTATAGCAGCTGGATCAGCATTCAAACCAGAGATCCCATCTGAGTCTCTAGTACCAAGTTGTGACACCTCCCCAGATTGTCCATCATTATGACAAGTATAATCACAAACAACCGCGGAGCCAACCCCGTCTAATCTTCCATTTAAATCTTGACATAGAGCAACTCCCGATTGATTTGGAAGATTGGTTTCAGTCTTTCCACCAGTTAAATTGCTCATTTTAGATGATTCTGAGATCTCATTGCCTTCAGAATTAGTAACACATTTTTGCACTAAGATCATTTCTCCACAATGATCACAATCATCTATAACAAATATCAAATACTAATTAGCAGCCATAAAGTTTGGACAAAAACTTCTAATTTTACAAACTGCAAAGGCCAAAGCAGCCCTCTTTTTCTATTACACTTTAGTGTGTCCTTCCCTAAAACACTAATGCGACGCTTCTATAAATACCACTGTTACCTTTCTAAAAAAAGTGTTTAACACGTTTGTTTAATTCCAAAAGCTAGATGTTAGGGATGTGTTGGAAGTCATTAATTTAAGTATTTAATTATTTATTTAGTAGCTTTCTTTATTATTCTCAAATAGGGTTTATATTTCATAGTTTTATAAGGATTAGGTTAAGTCATAGTTATTAGTTTGGAATACGATTTAGGTCTCCTACTTTTATAAGAATTAGATTTCCTGATGTAATAAGACTCCTATTTAAAGGGACTTTTGATGAATAAATCAGGAAGTCATAATTCAACAAAAATCAAGAGATCAGAGTTCTCTCTTCTAATGAATTCTAAGGTTTCAGCGTCCCTTTATTGAGCTGATTTATATATCGCCCTGTGAATCAATCCTTCCATAAAGATTCATAACACTAGATCTATGTATAAGGATTAAAATTGTAATAGGTTCAAAACCATACAAATATCTGAAAGAGAGAGAACTGAGATAAACACTTCTTTTTCTTGATAAGTCATATCCAAAGCAAGTATGTTGCATATGGACTTAGTTAAAGCTGTAGAGATTGAAGTACTGTTTGAATTTTTGGTTACTTATTGATCATTAAGATTGAGTGGATAGACATGTGTCATTGTATGAGTAATAGAGTGCGTAAGATGAATGAAAAAATACCAAAGCCTTTTAAGTTATTTACATATATAATATTAATTCAAATTGGGAGCCTTGAATAAACGGTAAAATTGTCTCTGAGTGACCTATAAGTCACGGGTTCAAGTCATGGAAGCAACCACGAGGGTAGGTTGTCTACAACACACCTCATGGACTAAGACCCTTCCTCGGACCTTGCTAACCCGGGATGTTTTATGAACAAATAGTCCTCTTTTTGTATAATGCTAATTTGTGCCATGAGAGAAAGGGAACATGCAAAATAGCAAGTTCTATTTTAAATTTACACGTACATTCTCTTAATGTGATTCAAGAAAAAATCTCGTTAACTCCAACCAAATAAAACCTCTAATTGGTTACATTAATTGTAAATCTTTAACCTTGGCACAATTGGCAACATTTAAATCAAACTTGAGTAGCTCGATTTAAGAAACACTTATTGTTATTTTTAAAATTCTGTCCAACCAGAACTTATTTGTCAACAACTGCTACAACGTGTGTTTATCTAGCAGTATTTCTGAGTGAGAGTTCGTGATCTTATACCTTAGTATTCACCTTTTTACTTTATTGTCCAATGCTTCTAATTCTTTTAAAGAGGTCTTCAAATGCCTCAAAGACATTGATTTGCCCACGTGACCCTAATCACGTCGACTATCATCTAGTTTAAATTGAAGAAATTATCAGTTATTTTACCTATACTGGTGGAACCATAGTAATATGGTATTCCATTTGGTGAAAAGGGAAAAACGCCAGCATCTGTTTCGGTCGGAGTTAAAGCTCATTTACTTTCTTGAACAAGCTTATTTTCCTTTTCGAGAAAGTACCAATGTGAGTTTCAATCAACTTCATTTCAATTTTTCATCTAACCTACTCATCCTCCTTTCCATCGTAAAAGAATATAAATAAAGAAAAATATGTTATGGCAAAATGCTATATATGTTGTGGCAAAATCTCATAAGCAATTTTGAGATGAACCCATGTGTAATTTATAGTTTATCGCGCTCATTTGATGTTTTTATATTAAGTAAATGAGGTAACCATGAATCCAAACCAAAGTTATCTCATGTTTATTGCATCGCAATTGCAGAGTAATACAATTAAGTGGAATCTAAAAACAAATTAAAATAGTAGTTTGATTATTTGACATATACAATGTTTTCTTTTTACGAAGAAAAATAAGACAAAAATAATGTTTTTGAAATAGGTAACTTTGTATTATGCCACAAAACAATAATGGTTTGTACTGAAACCATGCATACAAAATGTCTTTTTTCACTTTTTTCAGTCTATATTGGAGAATAATTGATTACAGGAAAAACATTGCAGTTTAATTTGACCTTTGAAAACTATTCTCAGTGCTCTCAGAACACCTAAATTCCCTTCTTTCCAAATAGTCCATCGGGGGAAATTCTCCATCTGCATCTGTCATTTGCATTCACCCCTTCTTCTTCCCAACTTTTTAAAGCCTCTAATAATACCTACCTAGGCATGGTCCAGGAGATGCCTTTGAGGTTTAAAAAAATCCTCCATAATTGTAGGGTATACTTGTAGTTTACAAACAAATGTTCATTATCTCCAATGTCTCCCCACAAAGAAAACCATCTAGAGCATAGGGTTATCCCTCTTTTCAACAAGTTGTCTTGAGTGAAAGCGGCTTCTTTGGCCAACAACTATATGAATCAAGCAATTTTTTATAAGTTAACATGCTTCATATTAGTTTTCATGGCCAATTGTGTGTTAGTGGGTTTGTCTAATCAACCTATAGGTTGAGTTAACTTTAAATTCATCTCTACTATGCCCTTCACTGTAAAGTATCTTCCATTGTTTGTAGCCAATAGAAAGCTTCGACAATGTTGAAATTTTTGCCATTCTTATTATTCCCCAGTCATTAAATCGTCTTCTGAAATTAAAGCTCCAACCCTGATTTATCCATAACTCTGCTATGGTATTTTATTGTCCCGGAACTATATTGTGTTGTATATGTCAATAACAATACTTCTAGATTTCCCTTTTCATGCCATTCATTTTTCCAAAATCTTGTCTTGCTTCCATCTATAACACTGATCTTTGTATTACTCTTAACTTCATCACACATGCCTCTTATTGATACAAACAAATCCATAAGGTGTAGTCACTTCTTTAGTCAACCACACATCTTCAATTCTTCACCTTCATATTTTCCACTTATTACCCTTTTCCATAGCATCTGATTAGCATTGGAAAATTCCACATCTACTTCATTCTGAGAGCGTTACTCTACACTTTCATGTACTCTATCCTCATACCACCTGCCTCCTTGCAGGTTATCAATGCTTGTTAATTCACCAAATGGAAGCCTTTTTATTTACATATATAATGTGAATAAAATACTACTAATGAAAAGCAAACAAACCAAATAGTTTGTTTTACTTTCTAGTTATGCACACGCACATTCTCTCCTAATATATTGATAATTGCGTATGTTTTCTCCTAATGTGATTGAAGGGAAAAAAAATATTACACCTCTAATTAGTTACATGTATTGCTACTCTTTAACATGATAGCTTTATTGAAGTTGTTGAACTAATTACTTTCCTTTTTTGACATCTTTTAACATTTTCAGTGTTACGTTCAAATTTCCTTTTAAGTAATATCAGCAATTGAATGCCCAGTAACACTAAATTTACATAATACATACATTAAACTCACATAATATTTGTGCTCCCTAACAACCAAACTATATGGTATTCACATTGGACCTATAGGTAGATCATTCCAACAAAAATAGGAATAATTTCATAAACCACCCTCCAGGTTAGATTTCATAACACCACCCAACCTTATGGTTTACAATATTATGCTCACCTCCTTTTTTGGACAATCACTTTAGACCATGCTAATATATTTAAATTTCTAACGGCAAGTTCTAAGTTCCAAAAAAGACATATTTGTAGTTTACGCTCACCTCCTAAATACTAAAATATGACCAATTTGTCGTTTTCTATATTTTATTAATGAACTAATAACTGAATTTCTATAGAACAAAAAAGAAAACTAATATGAAGCTCATAATTCTTGTTCCGCAACTTTTTTTTTCACAAACTCCAAAAAGCTCTTGTCGTTCAACTTCTCCCTCCTTTGTATAAGATACAACTCCATGTTTTTCCTATATGAATATATCCTTCACTCATAACCCATCAAAATAAGTAGCACAACCAAGAAGTAAAAGAAGACGAACACATAAACAAAAATCAACAACATGAAGCAACTGAGAAAGAATAGATTGGTGCACATAAAAGTCACAACTAATGGAATATTTTAATCAACAATACCATTCAGCAATTGAGACTTTTCTAGTTGTTTCAATTTGCAACAAACATCAGCATTGACTAATGCTAAAGAGTTGAAAGGACATCAATGGATTTCTTTGGTTTCAAACTAGAAAAGATAGAAAGACACTACTAATCACTAATTTTATGTAGTTGAACTTCCCGTTAGAAATTTAAATAACTTAGAATAACTTTCTCTAGTTGACAAGCATAAAATTTAGAATTATGGCACTGACTTCAGCCAAGATGCAAACTGAAGTTGTTCAGAGAAAAAATTTGCATATGAAGGATATGGACAGGCTGGGTATTAGCTCTCTTTATGTTCTATAGTAATTTATTTGTAACTCGACAGAGTGTAAGAAAGGAAAAGTTGGTAATATTGGGAAATTATCCCTAAAAATGCATAGGCCTTCTGTAAATTACATCCAAAATGATTTAACCCCTGTTCCAACTCAATACGAATCTTTAGATACACAACACCAGGCTTAACCAATTTTTGGTTTAATAACAAACAATTCTACGATTTTAGATTTTACTAATTAAGTAGAACCGGAAAATGAAGCATCTCCCAAGTTAGCCACAGTGCAATGTAGTTGCAGCAAGGGGAGAAATACTAACTATAAGGTCAAAATAAATGCACCATTAACGGTAACAGCTACGATGAATATAAAATACCTGTTGTAATCAGACCAAAGGCGTTGGCACGAACTTGGAATGTTTCTGCACAAAACGAAGAAATTTCTTGTGATTTGGAGCTGTAGAACTGCAAGTTTAAGTCTCGTCTCAGCGTTTCTATGACGGAGAACGAGAGAGGGTTTGTTCGGCGAGGAAGATGAACAGTTTACTTATGACGTAATAAATGGGAAGGCTATTTTTCTAGGGCTTTTTCCGTTTTTCTTTTATTTCAAGAAAAGGACACGGTCAGCTCATTGTTTAAATGTGAAAAAAAAAAGTATAGTAAATACACTTCGCCTCGCGAACTTCATAAGAGGTTATATTTTTTTTTATTTTTGATTTATGAAAATACAATTTGTAACACTTTATAAATTATTGTAAATAACTAAACTTTTTTTATTTCAATTTATGTGATATATATATAAAATTTAGAAAGTCAATTAAATCTTTTTTTAATAACATATTTTATATTTAATGGTTCAATATGTGTTACTTCTTTCTATTCCTTTATAGTAAATCTTTTTAATTTTAAAAATTATTTATGTTGTTACTTATAGTTAAATTATATAATATTGCGTTGTAATTTAAAATTTTAGTTATTTGAAATGTCTTGTTATTAATTCAAATTATACACATATCGGTGATGACGTGTGTGCTTCTGGAACTTGTACAATTATATGTATGTATAAGAAATTCAAAAATGTGATAAAATTATTAAGGGAAATGATTAAAAATGTCTTTAAACTATGTGAAAGAAACAAAAATGTCTTCCATTTATAATTTCACATAATTTAAAGACATTTTTTATCCTAATTCCAATTATCAAATTACATATTTAAGCATGCAGGGTGATAGGGGTCTTATCAACTCCTCTATTTTTTTTAGTATGATATATCTTTTTCAATGATTACCTAATATTAAACCATATTACGTGCATAGACACATGTATATTAGACCAAAAAAAGAATTTTCATGTTTTACCCAAATTTTCGTAGTCTCTCAAGTCTAATTGCTAAGTGGTTGGATTTTTTTCACTTCATTATGTATAGCACATATTCTATTCTTTTTACATTGAAATATTATTTGCATCTAATATACACAAGGGCATAGAATATAACTCCTGCACGAGTCATGAAACGAAGAGGACCGATTTGGATCTAAAAGAATCAAATACTTAATAGGTTAAAAAAAAATTCAAGGTGTTAAGATCCTTGCTTGATATAGATGGTAAATAATAAGAAAAAAATAATTTTAGCAAGTAATGAAACACTAGCATAGTTTCAAATATGTAATTGACAATTTCACCATAGGTAGGTTGTGTTTCATTTGTAAAAACACGATATTGAAAAAAAATATCAAACTAAAAAGGTCGCACTTCTCATCTACTATTGAAAATCTATTTATGTATATTCTTGGCGTTACAAAACTAGCTTGAATATGTGTTTCCTCTTTAACCCCATCCATTTTAACTAAAATGACATATCAACTCATCACACCAACTTTTATTCATGAACGATCCAAAGTCACCAAAACCCAATTCCAAGGACTTTTTCGGTTTTCATGGAAAATACTTTCTTCAAAAACAAGTGAATTTCTTACTTAGTTCTCAAGAACGAAGGCACCAATTTGTATCGGTTCCACTTTGAGAATTCAAAAGAACAAGATGCTGAATACCTTTTCTTCAGAGGAAATAAATTAAGCTGTCAATCTCAGGATACTTTTCAGTCTAGATATAGAGGATATAAACTTCTAGAAATGAGGTACATCATGTATGTAAACTAATTAGAAGGGGAGAGTAAGTGGTTTGTAGACGCCCAAACTGCATAATCAAAGCGTCAGTGGTGGAAATCTGCACCATTTATACTTCCATTTCTCGATAAGATGCTTGTCCTCACAGTTTTTATAATAACAAACACATCGGTAGGTACACTTTAACAACCATGTTTTTTTGCTCTCAGATGGCATCACACAACAACAAGGGGAGTCTGCACATAGCACAGAGACAACAGTCATCCATCTATATCAATGAATTGCATTCTAAAGCAAGATCTTCCATAATAATTCATGAATCCAGGCGATTATATAGATTTGTAATTGGCAAGGAAAAACCAAATAGAGCACATCGGAGAATCACATTGTCTTTTGCTACCAATAAGCTTCCCCGTAGACATCTATAGCTACACGATAAAGAGAATTTTGTCTAGTATTTGGTAATATCCGCTCTTAAAATCTGATGAGCTGTGAACAAGATTTGACATCAAATATCCTACTACTAGAGTTCCGATCACCTAAACAAGCTTAGTTTACCCGACAAGTGTAAACACAGTGGGAACTGAACAATCATGTAATATTCAACATCATTCTTAGGTGGATACTACATGTTATTTTCAATTCTTCTGCAAGTATTTTCCCTAAACACTCTTTTAAGTAAATGCCTCTAAAAATATATCTCGAGTTTCGATAATGGTAAAATTTAAAATGAGTTTTTAAAAAGAAATATTTATACACAAGAAAAGAAAGACCCTCGATTTTTTTTTGGAAAAGGTATTAGTTCCATTTCACTAGGCAGTGCCTTTTCCCCCCTACACCATGCCTTTAATTATGCCCCTTTTAAATGGGATAGAAGATTGATAAAGTGAGAGAGTTTCAATGGCAACACAGCAGGGAAAAAAGACTTTTAGTTTAGACAAATAGAGCACAATCATTGAAAGGAAGGAAGAGGAAAGTCTTCTTAAGACTTACTAGAGAGATCTCATTGTAGCTCAAGAAAGAATTAGAATGAACGGCGCAAGGAGAGTAGTTCTTACTTCGAACTTTGGCCTTTTAACACAGAATGTGGTGGTGATGTTAGAAAGCTAACCGACTCTGTAACGACCCATTAGGTTGTTTTGAGTACTAGAGCTTCTTATTTCCTAAATGACTTCCGATATATTCTAAATGGGTATTTTGGACTATTCGTAACTATATTTTAGTTGGTGGTTAAAGAAAATAGCATAGAAATTAGTAGTGGACTGCTTTCACCAATTCTATAATTAATCATGTATAATAATTAGGGTGGTAAATAATCTGTACAAAAGAAAAAGAAAAGAGTGAAAAAGAGAAACTTAGCGACCGGGAGAGGAAAAGATCGAGAATCCAGCAAATCAATATGCCCCTAAATCTTTGTTTTATGTATATGGGTTGGATAATATTAATATATTAGATAGGATAGAAGGGATTGCCAATGTGAATTTAAGTTTGTTTGGTTGACTAAGGGTTGGCCTCAACATTCTCCATCTATAGATTCAGGACTAGAAATAATGATATTAAGTGATAGGGCTGATCACTAGAGTTTAGAACCAAAAAGTTTATATAACACTGATGCAAGTGCAATGGACTCAGCAGCAGAGGAAAAACAATCATAACGAATTGGACAAACAAAGGTATTGAAAATTGCATGAATAAAGTATGTAGTGTAAACTGATGAAAAAATTAAGAAGCAAGGTGCAAGTGTACAATACAAGAAGGAAAACCTTCTCCCTCTAAAATTATTGTTGGATCATAAGTACAGTAGTCTTGTTCTTGCTATTGATTAATCACTTCAGTTCTGAGGAAAGACCTCTTGGCCAAAATTTCAAAATGCAGCAGGACTTTAGCAAATAACTATTGGAACACTGAAATGTGTCTCTAAATAGGAGCTGCGATTTTCTGCAGATTTTGGAGACATTGATATGGAACTGTTGCAAGCAGGGAAGGAGCCAGCTCGCATGAAGGGGAATCCTAATTCCTATTAATAAATAATATATGTATAATTTTTGTGTATACATAGAATGTTTGATTTTCGTGACATAACGGAAGCTTCTAGTGTAGGGATAAGGTGGTTTAAAACCTGTTATCTAGGGAACATGAATAATTACTAATATATAACTTAATCTTACCATTTTTTTTAAAAAAAAATTACTTATGTATAAACTTAAATTAGTTTTAAATTTTCATACACCCAACTTAAATTTTGGGGCAACTAAAGAAGGGTGATAACACTGTGAAAGGATGCAATAAACTGGGATGTTCTGTGAATGGTATGCTTGATCTTGATGAGTGACCCTGGAAACATGTTTGGAAAACTTGAAACCTCATACAGTCAGTTGTTTTACCTGGACTGCTAAAAGGTGTCTGCCTGACCCACGATAATCTCAGAAAGAGACGCATCATTCTTTCCAACAGATGCTATGTATACGAAAAACCAATGAAACTGTGAATCACCTCCTTTTGCACTGCCCATTGACAGCTGATGTTTGGCACTTCTTCTTTTCAATGTTTGTCTCAAATGAGTTATGCCTTTCCCTGATAAAGATGCCTTTGAAAACTTAATATCATGAAGAGTTGACATATCCATGAAAAGAATGAAGAATATGATCCCAGCAGCTATCTTTTGGTGTATTTGAGAAGAATGAAACGACAGATGTTTTGATGGGAACTCAACCCCCAACAGTTCTTTGAAGGCTATTTGCTTAGTTAGCTTATTTAGTTTGCATTACCACTTCCCTGTAAGCAATGTTGATAGCTTTATGGTTTTCGTTAGCTCCTTGATTCTTATATAGAAGAGTTCCAAGACAGCTTTCGTTTGAATATTTCCACAGGTTTTTGCTTATTACTATAGCTTCAGTCTTCACATAGCTATGTTCTGAAGCTACTAAATTTTTTTTTCTCGATTACAACCTTGCCTCTGCTTGATGCCTTTCTAATGGTCAATTTACTCAATGAAGCGAGTGCTTTGCTTTAGGTTTCATGGCTTAAGTGACGCAAGCCTTGTCACTTTGTTCCACTTCGCACTTCCCTGAAAACTCCATTAGGCATTAACCAAACCAACTTGTACAGATTGGACATATCATATTCTATAGGAATTGTCACTCCAAAAGAAAACACAGAGAAATTGTTTACTTGGATAAATATGAGTCTACACCTCATCTCCTGCCTTCTTTGGTCTTTTGCACAGTAGGGTATGGTGGAGGTCACTAGGCGCTTGAGCAACCATTTTTTTTTTTACCCATATACCATATTTTTATGTAGAAAACTAGAAATAATATATTACAATATTGATTAACCTGATCTAAGAAAGTAATTTCAGATTAAAGGCAATTAAGCATCCATGACTCAAAATTCATAATTCATAATTCACAATTGTCTAACTTAACAATATATTACATTTTAGCATGAACAAGTCCTAAATAAGACCCTCGTGTTCTATGACCCCCCAGTCAGATATCTACTAAACCCATTGTACTTCAGAGCATAAACATAAATTATTATCAACAAGACATAAGCTTCACAGAGAACGTCAGCCTGAATTCCTGGACTGCAATTTCATACCGAATTATTCAGTGTTATTGGAGTGTCCAGTCTGGATTCGAATTTTCAAATTATAATCCACAAGATACATAAGAAACTGAACATCTCAAACCTTATCCAATCTATAAACTACAGTAAGTAAAGAGATTAGCAGGTCGGTGTTCAAAAGTACCTATCTCGCAAGATGATCTCCTGACAACTCAGTGGGGGTATGCGTCTCCATACTTTGCTTCATTTTGAGCTCCTCCTCATACTTCTTCAATCTCTCGTTCCACATTTCCTTCAATCACATAACAGTAATTTATACAGATGATCGCTCTTTGGCGTAAGCAATTTAATTTATAATAAGAAAAAGAAGATTCGCAAAACCTTGTACTGAAGTTCAGCGCGATGCATAAGATAGAATCCAAAAATGCCTCCAAAAATAGTTCCTGATATAATTCTAACATATCCCCATCTCGGCGATTTCATTGCTCTCTCTTCCTTCTATTCTCCGTCTCCGGCTCCGATTTTCCCACTTTCTACCCTGAAATCCGAAAACTGAGATTATTGACTCACATGTTGTTCTTCGAAAGTTGGCCAGAACTCACTGCTATGATGGGCTTTTCCAACTGGGCCGAATAGACAAGTTTGTGCAAGGATAATCCATATTTTGAGGGTGGTATTTAAGTTTTGTCCTTTAAATTGATTATTTGTAATTTAATTAAATTTCTTATATTAAAGTATTATTAGTTATGACCTAACTTTGCAAGGTTGAAATTTAGAATTTTTTTACCTCGTTCTTTATGAGTTATGTAGTATTTAATTTGCATTTATTTTATATAAGTTTAGAGTACTTTGTACCTTGTCCAATATAAATTTTGAAAATATTTATCTTATTTGATAAAAGTACACTATGATAAGTTATGCCTCTAAAATATAATTTTATGAGTTATGTAGTATTTAATTTGCATTTATTTTATATAAGTTTAGAGTACTTTGTACCTTGTCCAACATAAATTTTGAAAATATTTATCCTATTTGATAAAAGTACACTATGATAAGTTATGCCTCTAAAATATAATTTTGTGGTTTTGAAACTAAACTTACATATCGATAAATATAATTATGTAAAACTAAGTTATGTCGTAACTTTAGATTTTGATGTGTTAAGGCATAATGTTCTAAAATTGAACTTATGTGTTGCGAATTTTTTTTTGTGATTTTTTTCTTCCTAAGACATAATTCGAGTCTTCTGCTATTTTTTTTAGCTAGCGTTTGGCCATAGATTTCCAAATATTCTTGGCAAATATTATTTGAGTGAAAATTTGGGTGAAATTTCACCATGTGTTTGGCCATAAAATTTGGGAAATATATTTCACTTTTTTTAAAAAATATGATTTATATACACAAGTTTTAAAAACTATCAAAACTAACTAAAAGTTTGTATTACAAGTCAATTGAATGTTAGTTACAACAATAACAAATAATGTCCATGACACTAAAACAATGTGGTAATTTGGAGTGAGTGCAACAAGAATATTCCATACATCGTGAAGTAGATAAAGTACATGATTTTGTTACCTAAAGCCAATTTTTAATAATTTTCATCAACAATCATATCATTATTATTCACTAAATATTTCATCACTATTTTGGTGTTCACGTAAAAAATAATGTAATACAACGCAAGCAACTACTAGAGAGGGTGTTTTTGTAAAAGATAAAAGATTGGGATAAAATTTTAATTTTTAAAATATCCCAAATAATGATATTTGGCCCAAAT